GTATCTGGAGGAGGAGGAACCAACCTCCCGTCTGCAGTAATTCTTAGACGGTTGCAGGAACCGCAGAAATGTTGCGACATCGAGGTAATGAAGCCTACACTTCCCTGCCACCATCGGTCAGTCCAAGTCATACACGCACCCCTCCTTGCTCAATGCCTCCTGACTTCACCTCTTCTCCTTCAATCTTCCAGGCCTTCGAGGTGTCGTTCGCCTGTGGGCGCGTGAGTTCAAGGCAGAGTTGAAACTTTGCAGGTGGGAGAAAAGGAGACGAGAGGAGACAACGATGAAGCAACGGGGATGAGAGCCGACCCAGAGGAGCACGAAGACGTTGCAAGAGTGAGGGAAAGAGGGAAAGAAAAGCATTCATCTACTTTGTCTTCGTCTCTTCTGCGATGAAATGACGGAAAACGTTTCTTGATCACATCGAGCATTTCCATGTAGCTGACAAACTTGAAAAGGATCACGAAAACAAAAAGCTCTGCAGCTGGTTACCTTGTTGTCGCTCCAGCGATTACCATCAAATGGCATATACTCAATGAATCGTACATTCAGTTTCTTTTTCTACATCAAAAAATCAACAAACAAAAACCTTGTGCTCGATTTTACCATTGCAAACTCGACGAAGGGGATAATTTCGTCATCGTTCACGCCCCGCATCATTACACAATTCACTTGTTTGAAATGCATCAGAACATACCACGTGCGGAACTAGTCAAGCTTACCTTTGACACTTCTCAACCTTCCTTGAGCCTTCATATTGGCAGCTTGTTCTATACATTCCAACACTCTTGAAAAACCCCTTGACAACCATCTTAACTCAGCACGCGTCTTCATGGAAAGACAATCACCTTCTCCTCGTGATCAGCTCAAACTTCGGTTCTATCAGCGTGTCAAGACTGATATTCACAGCATCCAATCCCCCCTGCATGAATGAAGGGAAGTAAGAAGTGAAGAGCAGGAAAACGTCTCTTTGCCTCAGCTAGCTCCAACAAGTGTCTTCCTAGAGTAATCCCGTTGGATGTCATACCCAACGTCTCCAATCCCCTCTCCTTCAAGCTCCCCAGCCGAGCCACCACATCCACAATGTCTTTTCTCACCTTGGCAGAGATTCAGTCGACAAAGACACAACATGCAACCTTTCCTCACCATCGGCTCCCCTCCCGTGAGTCGAATCTTGGATACACCTTCTCTGACAAACAGAGACGCAAGTCTGTAGATCTCCTCACTCGTCAGGAGCTTCTCAGACGGAGACAACTGGACTCCTTCCTCCGGCATGCAATATTTGCACCGCAAGTTGCAGCGCTCTGTTAGAGAGATGCGAAGGTAATCATGAAACCGCCCGAAGCTGTCTGTCAGAGGAGAAGTCGATGGACTTTCCGCCCTTGAGCTGACTTGCACGTTCATCATTGTTTCAGAGCAGTCCGCTTGCTGCATCTGCTTCGAAGAATGCTTGTGTGTGGTGGAGTATCGCCTTGGGTGGGCTGACTCTTGGAGCAACGAGCAATAGTGACTTGGCTTCCTGATCCCTCCATTGTGATTAAATAACGTGATATCTTGCCTTCGTCTCTTAGCAGCTGACTCAGCAGCTAGTCGAAGCCTCCACAAGCGCCGACAAGAAGCCGGAAACAACATCTGTGAAGAAAGAAATCACTCAGTGTTGTCGACGACGTTGATGGTGATTATGTCGGGGATGACAATTTTGGGGATGACAACCGGCTACAAAGAAGACGACACGACGACTACAATGAAGACGATAACGGATGGGTGAATGGATGGATGGATGGATGTTGTTACTGTCGTTGTCGTGGCAGTGATGATGGTGCAGGCAAAGCAAGATTTGAGGTGATGTTGGGCAAGTGGAGGAGGATCAGGAGCAGGAGGAGTAGGAGCAGGAGCAGGAGCAGAAGGAGCAGGAGAAGGAGCAGGAGGAGGAGGAGGAGAGGGAGCAGGACGAGCAGGACGAGCAGGAGCAGGAGAAGGAGCAGGAGGAGGAGCAGCAGGAGCAGCAGGAGCAGGAGAAGGAGCAGGAGCAGGAGAAGGAGCAGGAGCAGGAGAAGGAGCAGGAGAAGATTCAGGAGGAGCAGGAACAGGAACAGGAGCAGGGAACAGGAGCAGGAACAGGAGCAGGAACAGGAGCAGGAGAAGGAGCAGGAGAAGGAGGAGAAGGAGCAGGAGGAGGAGGAGCAGGAGGAGGAGCAGGAGCAGGAGCAGGAGCGGGAGCAGGAGGAGGAGATTGAGATGAGGTGGGGGTGGGTTGGGTGGGAGGGATGGAGGGATGGAGGGCAAGAGGAGCAGGAGGACTCGGGACGGAATGGTGGAGATGATGGGGAGATCAAAGAGAACATGTAGGTAGGGTATCTGGGTGAGGGGGGTACTGAAATTGTATTTTGGCAGGGTAGGGTGGTACACATCTGGTGAAGACAATAGGTGGGTACAGGGTAAATCTCCACGTTTACCCACATCTGTCAAGTCTCAAGTACCGGTAGCTGATTGACCAGGTTGGGAGCATGCAACAGGTGGATAAAATCAAGGGGTACACGATGAAGGGGGTGTATTAAAGCGCAAAGACGAAAGTAATTGGGGGTAGGGACCTTAGTTGAGGGGTAGGTCTCGAATATTATCCCGACACATACCTTGAAGGAAGCTCCTCCCGTCTCCCTCCCCTCCCTCCCCTCCCTCCCCTCCCTCCCGTCTCCCTCCCCTCCCCCCCCTCCCTCCCCTCCCTCCCCTCCCTCCCCTTCCTCCTCTTACAGCAGCAGCATTGATCGTTCAATGATGGCTGGACCAACTTGATCGAAGTCGTGGAGTTGAGCCGAACCAAACAGTCGAAGCGTTGAATGAATGCTTCCATTACCTCGCTCACTGTTCCTACACTTCTCCGGCTTGCTCTGCCGCCTCCCTGCCGCCTCCCTCCCTCTCGAGCTCCTCGCTCACAGCCCTCCTCGGGAGAGAAGAGGAGGGCTGTGAGCGAGAATCCTCGTCCTTGCTCATGAGCATCTTGTCCTGATGCAGGTCGCCACCGGCCTAGAGCTGCCCGAAGAGGCCAGGGCAGGCATCCATGACTCTCCGGGGAGGAGGGCCGCAACCGTGCGAGAGGTCGGCCAGGTTGACTTCTCCTCTCCCTCGCGAGAGGAGAAGACAGGGGTGCTGTCAGCGAGGAGAGGAGAGGAGACAGCGCCAGGTACAGCGAGGGAGTGACAGCGAGGAAGAGGAAGGAAGGGAGAGGGACACATGGTATACGATGCGCGATGGAGAAAGAGGAAGAAGCTCAAGAGGGAGAGGATAGAGTGATGCAAGGCGGTAGTCCATCAGTCTGAGCCATGGTGTGGGGTCACTCCTTGAACCCGATCCCCACGATCCGAAGATGGTTTGCAGCCATGACTTCATGTTCTGCACCTTCAGGGTGCTGGACATGGATAAGTTCGAGCAGATCATCCAGTGCATGCAGAGCCACTCGGCCGACCGTTGGTCCCCGAGTGCAGGTCCATCGTGCAGAACATCTCCGTGACCGTACACCCAAGGGCGAAGTAGGCCATGCTCCTTGTCTATCGGACGGTGTCGAACGGTCCGACTTTCGATACTCAGCCCGGGCTACTCACGGGCCTGCGGGATGATTGTCCGACTGATGAGTTTACTCAAAGTTAAGTTAAAAATCAGTACGAGGACAATCAGGAGAGTCGAGGAGGCTTGACCCTGACACTGTCGCACAGGCCAAACGGCGAGACTCGAGAAGAGAAAAGACAGCGAGAACCAAACCTACTAGTCATCCTGCCGACTGCTGTCCCCCAAACTTAACTGATACCTTCACTTGACTGATGAGTCACCAGTGTCGTGGTCCCGGGTGCCTCTATAGAGGACTAACTGAGTTGAACTCGGAAACTGATCGCCGGATTGTCAAGGCCGCTATAACCGCCACTGTAACTGTTTGTTGAAGGAATGTCATGAAAGGCAACCCAGAAACATGAGTGGTGGAAGAGAAGGAGAAGGAGAAGGAGAGAGAGAAGAAGAAGAAGAAGAAGAATAGTAGGAGACGAAACAGCTAGTTGAAGCAAGTGATTGTGCGGAGAGTGTTCTGAATAAAAGATCATGACAGGCCTGACAAGTGGGCCCGACCGGAACTGACGAAATGAATCTCACAGGGAGGGTCTGCAGATGATGAGGAATTCAGCATGACTTATTGAACATCGATGGATATCACTGAAGTAATTTCAAGGTTGAAGGTACACGCATGAGGTGTGCTCTTCGACGTGTTGACCAACTCCTTGCGTGTGCTGTGCAGGTGCGAGCGCTGGGGTACACGAGAGCTGGAGAAGGAGACGTTGTTCACTCCAATGGATGGGTGCAATCTCGCGATCAAAGCTTGCCAGCGTCCTCCAAGTGTTTGTCTCCGACCTTCATCTTCTCTGTCACGTTCGTGCAAAGGACGGGGGAGGAGAGCGGAGAGGTAGTGATCAAGAAAGCTCGTGAGGTATGTTCTATCTACTGCCGTAGGTGAGGATGTTGACTCTTTGTAGGATTTTGAGAGTCTTCATCAACTGCTAGAGGAGGGGTGTACGGATGAAGCAGCGAGATTGTCCCTGCCTCATCTCCCTGGAAAAAAGTTCTTCAGCGCTAACTCTCACGGGTGTAGCAAAGGGTTTCTTATCTTGTGTCTGATTGAGGAGCAGGCATCTCAACAAGCGTCTTGTTCGCTACTTCGGTTACATCCATTCTTTGCTCTCCTCTGACCATGCTAAGAAGTAACCTCTCCATCACCTTACTTGGAACATGCTGACAGCCATGCGCTCTGCCAGGAGCAAACACCTGTTAGCTTTCCTTATCGATGAGAGGTTTCGTGATCTTGACTCATCGGCAAAAGATTCTCGAAAGTTGGAAGCCCTCATAGAAGAAACATTCTTGCAGCAGAGCCAGCGACGAGATCTCATGTCGGAACAAGAACCGCAACTTGAAAGCTCCCAACCAGTGCGGGCCGTGCAAGCCAAGTTCCTCCAAAGCGCAACCCTCCCTGCTGGGGCTCTCAGAAAGAGCCCGACCGTGAGCGGAGCGTCCGACTTGATCAGAGGAGAGACTGAATCTGCAAAGGATGAAGAGATCAGACTGTTGAAATCCAAGATCGCTGCTCTTGAGAAGAACCAGACTGCTTGGATTCATTGCCTTCAGCAGTTCTTGTTCGCTACGATTTTCGACAGCTCAAGGCAAGAGGAGCAGAGGCAGAGGTGCGGCTCTTCTCTACTGAGACAGGGAAGGAGGTCTCACGTGATGGAGTCAGGTTGGAGGAGAAGCTTCGTCAGGCCATCAAAAAGAACAAGGACGGAAAGGTGCGCCATGATCTCCTTTCCCACACCATGACTGGAGTGTTCCAGGTCTCAAAGGCCAAAATCCTTCGGCTCAAATTTCCCAGCGACTGGAAGCTTGTACCCGAGCTAACTCTGACGGAAGTCAGAGGCGGAAGCAGCACTTGCTATCTTAGGTGGGAGCCCCGGCAGGTGGAACTGAGGATGTTTGCCCTCAGTAGTGCTGACTTGCTTTCTCGTGAGGTCACTTGCGACGTTGAGTTGACGGGGAGGCGTCTGGGAATGTCCTTTCAGTGCAACGTCTCGATCAGTGTGGGGGTACATGGAGAGCTGCAAGCTTCCTTCCTCAACGATACTCATTCCTGCCTCATCGTTCGCTTCCTCCGCGACCCCAAGGTTGACGTATACACCTCGGGCACACAAGTGAGCTGGGCAAATGTCCCCATGCCGATCAGAGACGCGGTGGACGCAGAGATAAGAAGACATGTGGAGAACATCTTGAGGAAGGCGTTGAACCCTCCTGCTACCCTGAGCTTCCAGCTGTCTCCCAGCGAAGATTCTGCTGCCCCCCCACGTCATGTCGAGACGAATTCTCCTGCAGCTACAAGAGCAGGGAGTGATTTGCGCAAGCAGAGACAAGACGAGGGTGCGTCATGTGTGATGCCTGCAAGTTCACCTGTAAGAGCAGCAGCAGGAGGCGAAGGCGGGAGGGGAGCGACTAGCACCATCACGGAGGGCAGCATCGGGTTGACTGTAGGGCGAGTAGACGAGGGGGCTCCTCTTCAAATCCTGTCGGTGGCCAAGGGAAGCGCTGCGGCCAAGTCGATGCTGATCCATGTGATATCGCGAGGAGGGCGGTGGAGAGGCGGGCAAAGAAGTAGAACAAGGAGGAGGTAGCAAAAGAAAGGCGGCAAAAAGGCGAGAGAGATTAGACGAGGAAGCAGGAGGAAGGGACGAGGGAGGTGGAGGATGTTTGCATGTTTCTGATGTATAGTGAGCAGAAATTCGATGAGCTCGTGGAGATCGGCACACAGCAGGTGTCCGACGCTCGTCTTGAAGTCGTTGCAGATCTCTTGAGATGGCCAGCAGGGCTGGATCGGAGCGCGAGAATGATCCAGGTGAGGAAGGGACGGTAGTTCGTGCTCTGAGCTGATCTCTTCCAGCTCACCTTGAGGAGGCAAAGAGCTCTCGCCTATGCCAACATCGAACAGCTGCGACCGGACGAGGACAACCCGAGCGAAGAGTCCTCAGGAGGAGGGAGCGATTGGCAAGAGAAGCCCTCGAGCGTGCGACGTCAGAGCAGCGGCAAGAGGGAGAGCAAGGCGAGCAAGAAGGAAGAATCACATCGGTTGCCTGCTAACGAGCTGATCGAGTTTGAATCCCTGGGGATGACGGTGGAGATTGGAGCTCTGGACGGTGTCACGAGGATCCGAAAGTTTAAGTACGGAGGGCCGGCGGAGCAGAGCGAGCTCCTGCTGATCGGCGACGAAGTCGTTATGATCGATCGACAGAAAGTCCCGGGCAACATCTCAGCGGCCGCCACACGGCTGAGGAGGATGGCGGAGATGATCGCTGGGTCCAAGAGGCTGGTGGAGGTCACGGTGAGGCGAAAGGGGGCATGGGGGGGGAGCGAGACAGTTGCGAATGTGAATCTCCTGAGGTGAACAACACCCTCTTGCTAGCTCTTCGTTGTTGGAGCTGATTGTGATTTCTAGCTGTCCGAACGAGTCTTCATCAGAGGGATCCGACTACGTGCTCTTGCTGCGTCCCTCTACCTCCTCCATCTCACCTACTGCATGCAGGTGTTTGTCGACTCCGGCGATTCGGCCGATGAGGATGCGAAGAGAAGGTCTGAAGAGATTCGACGGAGAAACGTGGCCAGGCAGAGTCAGCAGCAACTTTACAGGCACCTGACGGGAAGGAATTTCATCAACGAGCTCTCAGGGATGGTTACAGAAGCTATAGAGAGCTTGTGAGGCCTTAAACTGGTAGATACCGAGTACCGTAGGCTGAGCTTGAATGCTTAAGGCTGATCACTCATGACAAAGTGAAGTCTGGTCATCCGTCATGTCGGTCCTCCCAACTTGGCAACCCGGGTGGTCAAACGCTCCGAGGCTCATTCACTGACTCCGGGCTTTTAAAAATCATTGTCGAGCCTCGGAGGAGGCTTGCCCCTGACGGTCCATGCCAGTGGCATGGCCCATGCCACTGGCATGCCACTGGACTGCGGGCCGCAGTCCCCGAGTCCGGCGAGATCACACTCGGCGCGGCAACGACCGGACTGCCTGGCACCGGGCCGGCCTGCCGGACTCCACCGTACTCGATCTCTTCTTTACTCAAAGTTAAGTCAAAACTTGAATCAGTACGAGGGCAATCCTGAGGAGAGGCAAGAAGCCTCAAGTTTTCAAAGTTAAGTCAAAACTTGTCGAACACTGTTAGGCCGGGCCGCTGCTGTACGGTCCGGGCCTAAAACAAATGGCAGCGAAGGAGAGGAAGGCTTTGAGCTGACGAAAGATCCTGGACCGGATGCGTTTGCCACCTGAGACGTTCCATCACTCGCGGGCCCTGAAGCCGGATCAGTTTATGAAACCAATAGATAACGGTTGGCGATATCCGTTACGTGCTGGCCCTACCCGGAAATAGCTTTCATGGCGGCGGAGGCGTTTGGCCGCGCGACCATGTCGATAGGACGCGCGTCTCTCTCTGGCATGCAGGGTACAGGGGGGTCAGCGGTTTTGCAGGATGAGCTGGCAATGGTGGGCATCGTGCTTGAGGTGCGCGAGGTCATGTGCTGCTGCTGAGATGATGGCTGACCGAAATGCTGGGTAGGGATCCAAGATCATGAGGGTCGTGGCAGGGAGTCCAGCGCATCTGGCCTGCCGAGACGATGTGAGGATCGAGGCAGGGGATGCTGTGATAGCGGTTGATGGGATGCCGGTGAGGGAGCATGCATGCCGGTTTTCCGAGATGCTGAGAGTGTTTCCCTCCAGGTCGACGATCGTACTGCACCTCGTGCTCTGAGTCAAAACAAATTCCCAGGAACTATGGTGAGTGACAGATAACGTGGAGGAAAGCTTGCAAGCTCATCAGTCCTCATCCTGTAGGTGGAAGTTACCATCGAGAAAAGATCAAGAATCAACAGCGGGAGTACATACGATTTTCTCGGCATGGAAAGAAAGCGCAACCAAGAGCGGGTCAAGTTTGATGTGAGGACCTGATAAATGTTGACATCGAGCCATGACTGACTGAGGTGTGTCAGTTGACAAGGCAGAGCGCTGATAGCCTTGAGTTGCAACGGAAGATGTCTGAGTTAGCAGACCACTGCCTTGGTGAGCGGCAAGATCAGGTCGATTTGCATCGTCAGCTAAAGGAGCTTTCCGAGCTTCTGGTGGCTCACAATGTAGCAAAGGAAGCGTGGGTCACCAATCACATCTTGAGCAAGGACGAGGCCCTCAAGTTCCCCGACCATTACCTTGGTGCGAATGCTGAGAAGTCTCGCGAAATGTTGCGCACGACGGATGAGATCAAACATTTGAAGAAGGAGCTTGAAAGTGTTCGAGCAAGCGAAAGAAAGACTAAAGCAGAGCTGATTGAAGCAAAATTGGTCTTGAAACATTCGGAATCGGAGACCATGCAGCTGCTGCAGCAATCGAACGTTGAACTTGAACAGTGCTACAAGAAGTTGCAAAAAGAAAGTGAACGGGCAGATTTACATGAGAAACGAGCAGAGCAGGCCCTGCACAAGCTGCGAACAGAGCAGGGCATTAATGAGGATCTGCGAGCTGAGATCGCCAAGCAGCTACAAGTCACGACGACGTTGGAACAAAGTGGTTCAGAGAACCTCGAGAAAGCGGCGCGAAAGATAAATCACGTCGAGGAAGACCTGCTCTCTGCCCATCGAGAGATCAAGATGCTCCAGGAGAGTGAAAGTATCCTGATGAAACGAGTCAATGCTCTCCAAAACCTGAGACTGAACGATGTTGCTGCCGAAGAGACTGCGCGACAGGTATCGCATTCCTTGCACCGCTGCTTGTGGATTGATCATTTGATCAGCTCAAGGCATGGTCCGATGAAATCTTATTCTTAAGAAGGACCAAAGACCAGATCGAAGAAGAGAGACGGTCAGGTACCTTGTCTTCGTTTTCTTGCTCATGACAATCGGTACAAGAATTTTGAGGGAGCAGCTCTACGACAAGAAGGAGGAGATCATGGAGCTCAAGAAGCAAGAATGCAACAAGGTGCTGTGAATTTTGACTTTCCGCTTATGCTCACACTGCTCTGCGTTGCTCTTGCTCTCTCAAGACCAACTTCGAAACACTGCAAAGGAAGATCAAAGAAAAAGAAAGCATCATTGCTACCCAAGCAGCTGAAAAAGTGCAGTGCGAGTTAACAAAGATGAAACGCTAACAATGATTTTGTAGAATGCTCTTGAGAACGAATTGATGATGTGCAAACAGAATCAGACAGCCACGAGTGACATTCATCAGGGAGGGCACCGATCTTGGCACCATCTCCTGTTCTACAATGAAACTTCCGAAGATTTATCAAGTTTGATCGTTTCGGTGAAATCACGCTCTTTTTGACCTGAGACTATGGCCACTTCTTATTACCTTTCTGCAGATGTCATTTTGTCTTTTACTTGCATTTGTTGTCAACGCTACTCCATGGGAGAGTCTCAAAATTCTCCAAGAACTCCTTGGTGAGAAACACCAAGGAATCGAGTTCTATACGAGTTGGATAACATGTATGCAGTTGCCATATCTAGCATTCTCTTCATTCTTTTCGCCACTCTCTCGCTCTTCAAATTCATTCTTCTGCTTGTAAGATTCTTCAAAGGCTCGTCAAGTGCCCGCAAGGAGTGAGTCGCAGCCTCGCAATGGCGACTGGGAACTGAATTGCCGGCAGGCGACTACCTGAAGTGACTCCGCTCCTGTCAAACGATCAGGGTGCTCATGTCCAGTATCAGACGATAGAGCCGCAGAGGGAGTGCGGCATGGAGGAAGGAAGAGCGACAGCATGCCGTAGCGGTGCAATAGAGAGCACGAGGGGCACATCCCTTGGCTACTCCGACACTCAGCGCTACTCGGGTGAGTCCTGGAGACGAGAGTCGACGAGGTCACGAGAGGACCGATTGGCGGCATTGGAAGGAACACTGAAGGGGCGCCGGGAGTTGTTGCTGGCTTGATATGTGTTGAGGGATGGATGAACGTTTATTCTTTCTCACCTGCACCTGCCGCCATTCAATAGCCTCAATAGCCTTCGCGTCAATAGCCTTCGCGTCAATAGCCTTCGCGTCAATAGCCTTCGCGTCAATAGCCTTCGCGTCACCCGCAGATGCGAGGCCATTCCTCTTGCCCGATGCCCGGACGAAACTCATCGCGGAAGTCATGCCATATCACAAAGTCGGTCAGCCAGCGCCCGTCCGGAGCTCGCTTCAGCTCCCAGCCAAGCTTGGCAAGCATCCCTGACCAGGCTTGTCCCGCAGCCGTGCAGGAGTCGAGCTGTACCTCGAGGAAGACGCGGTCTTCATCGATGAAGTAGGCGTCTGAGGGAAAGCTGTGCTCATAGTCGCACATGAGCAGGTGAAACTGAGATGATGGGTTCCGAAACACCCCGGAGAGCGCCGACGCAGACGCCGTTCCCACCATCCACCGCAGCTGCAGCTTGAAGCGATCGGTCGACATCTTGAGCAGCATGGAGGCGCCGGTATCCGCCAGCGGATGATCATTATGCCTGAGCGCATCGAGGATGTGCGTGATAGATTCCTGGGGAGAGAGCGCGCTCGGAGGCATCGCTACATGGTGAGCTTCAACTTGCCTGATCCGATTCCTTAGCTCGTCATTCCACCCGCTGTCCCCTGTCCTATGGATCATTTCAGATCGTGACATAACTCGAAGATGCCGTCTGCAGCGATGATGTTGCTCGTTCTCTCCTAACCAAGTTGTCTTCTTCCTGAACTGCGCAAGTGAAACGCTGTATCCTGAACTGAAAAGATCAGGCATGTGAAAACAAAGCGAATATCAGTGCTTACCATTCGACTTTGAGTTCATAATCGTCAGGACTATCATTGCAATCCATCTCCACGCCCTTGATATACTCCATACGTGACTTTTTGGTCTCGTCTTTGTCTCTGACCCATTCGCCTCTACCATGTTGCTCTTGCACCGTCGTGTGCAGATTCCGTCCAGCCCTGTTCGAAACTCTGGAATTTGCCTTTCCTCTCTCTCTTCTCCTCTCTTCTTCTCTCTTCTTCTCTCTCCTTCACTTCATTGCATCACTCCGCCTCGTTTCGCCTGCGCCCCATGTTGCGGAATCACCCCGAAGGGGTACCCCCTACCCTTACTTCTGTGGTGAAATTACCCCACCCCCATCCATCACTAACTAGGGGTTTTAATTTACCGCTCAATCGAAGCACCGGTGGTATCGTATTTCACTTTTTGTTTTATCACCCGTACCTGAGAAACAAATTTCTCAGTTCGCAAGGAGGTTCTTCCTGTACCCCCTGACTTATCACCCCTCTTAATTACTACCCTACCCCCTCAAATTCGAGTGTCCCCAACATCGGGGTCCTACCCCTTTAGACTTATGGGATCGCAATAACAAGTTCGTTATGGCAACAAAGTTGGCCAGGAGGCGAGAAGGAGGAGCGAGCGAGAGGAGAAAGAAGGCGAAGAGATGTATTGGTATGAAGAAGATCAGAGACGTGTAGAAAGGAAGAGCTCTAGGAGGAGAGGTTGCTCTTGCTCTAGTCTTATTTAATGTCTGATGTTGGAGCAAACCCATCTTACCTGGTCCCTGGTTCTCGCACAAGGTTGCATCAACTGACCATTCTTCGTTCCAGGGAACCATGATTGGAGTACCAGTCTGCTATTGAAGGAGCATGGTCGATCCAACAGTCTGAAATATTCATGTGAAGCTGACATTCTTTCGGGACCATTCCATCGCATTACAAACGATGAATTTGAATCACAAGTCTTGATGACTTAACACTTCTCTCAACATTCTCCTGGTTCTGTCTTGTGGATAATGAAAAAAATCGTCATACTTCTATTCGTTGGTTCAATAAGCGCTAACCCAATCAGCGATGGGTTTGTGGACATGGTGGGAAAAAAGCAGCATTTCTCACGACTACTCGTTGACTTGTGCCTGGTTGCAGTTCACAGACCCGATTTTGGGTGAGATTACATCTCATTGCGGTTTCAATCAATCGACAGGACCACAACCATTCCTGCATGCTCTGATTGGTGATCTCGTATTGTTGTTTAAGTCGGGCTTTGACAATGCCTATGCAAGATGGCCAAATTTTTCCATATGTGAACTCATGTTATGTACTGAAGCCCAATGGTTTGTGTTTGACTTGTTCGATCTCATTGAGATGTTGAATTTTCCTTCTCCGATGGGCAGGGATGCCCGACTGTGATGTAATCGAGGTGAGCAGTGAGTGCTGTCATGGCTGGCTTGACTTGAGGTGGCAGGGAGAATGTTCGCCGTCCTCGTCATCCTGTCGTTATGTCTACTTGATCGAGTCTCTCCTCGTCTTCGGCCTTGTGAGTTTCCCCAGTTGCTTACCGCATGCACCCCTCCTAACTCCCCTTAAGGTCTGGGTGGTTATCTTGAGCGTGGGGTCGTGCTTCTACTGTCTGTTTGGATCAAGGGTTTGTAAAGGTGTTCTCTCGTGCTTCTTGCTTGCGCTTAACAAGGCTTGTAACTCGCTGCATGGAAATCGATAGGAATGGAAGATTACTCGTATGAGCTAAGTTCGAACAATGTCGAGACGTCCGCTGGTGGCCGCCGTTTGATGTCGCATACCATCCTTGCGCTTTCAACTCTCATCGCTCTCATTTCACTCTTCGGATTGGTTTTTGTTTACGGGGGATTTTCTGACCTTTTTTCATTTCTCAAGGTGAGAGATTCACTATCAGAGTTTTGATGATCTTGATTGCTGTGATCAAAATGATGCCTCCCGTTGTTTTGGTTGAAACTGTGTGCTGGGGCAAAATTACATGACGATCTTTGCGCCAACGATATTATGACAACATTCTTGTTCATGGCAGGGAGTTCAGTCGGCTACGAACCTTCCTCAAACATTCTCTTCAAGAGCGGAGATGTCAATTTCGACATGCACGATGGAAAGAAGCATCTTCCTATTGAACAAGAACGACTTGCTCGATGACGGCAGCGGGCGGATTGGCGAGCATCATCGACTGAAAAATCTGGTGAACATGACGATGGAGGCAGGGAGAGATCTGCAGAAGGTGATGTAAACTCCCTGTGGATGGTCGTTTGACAAGAGACTAGATGATTGTTGAGCTGCAAGTTCTTGTCGAGGGATGTTCCAAAGGAGCACAGGACTGCTTTCCGTAAGATTTTACAATGTGCTGGTGTCGACGGCTGACTCGCTATTGCTATTGATTCTTCCTTGCAAAACAATAGCAACATGACAGACTTGTACAAAACCAACCTGTGTACATTCACAACACAGAATCCTCTAGGGGAACATGACGTGGGCGTCCCAAGTACGCTGTTAAACGCGCATGAAAACCCGGCATGCCGAGATCTCCTCAACGGGTCGCTGATCGCATGCCCTTGCTGTCGAGTTTGTAAAGATCTCCTGAGTGCTGTTGACAACCTGATCGTAATTTCTCTCGACACCTCCGAGGTGAAGGTGACGGGAGTTGCGCAGGACTCAATGCCGGACCAAGAAGATCTTGACTTCCTCAACATCACTTACCCCCCAGAGCAAGTCAGTCTCTACCATCTGTTCCAGCTTGCTTCGACTGACGTCACGTGCGCAGATTGCAGATGCGGCCAGGACTTACTTTGATCAATACAGGTGAAGTAGAATGTTTTTTCTCTGCTCGCTCGCATCGCTCACTGTCATCCTTGCAACTTTGCAGATCAACGATTCAGTCAGTGCACGAGTCTCTCCTTCCTGTCAATCTTTCCGTTGAGAATGCGAGCGCGACTTTGAAAGCCTATGACACACAAGTAAAACAGCCGTGATTCGAGGCGACAAGACATGCTGATACTGATTCTGTAGGTTATCATGCTCGACATATTGTTTTGGTTTCCAGCTATCGTTGCTACTTTTTTCATCATCGTCGTCGAGACATGTCGCAAGAACGCTCAAAGCTCAACGTTGGAATGGACAACTATCCAGGGCGACATGATCAGCGAGCTGGAACAGGAGGAGGAAGACAACAAGTCTCCTGGCCTCCTCCTTCATCGCCTCCTAGCAGGCAGCGAGCGGAAACTTCTTTGGATCGCCTTTGGGATGGGACTTGCATCTACCGTTCTCCTTACCGGTGAAGTTGAAACCTCGTCCTGCCTCCCGTCTCCTCTCTCTCCTTCTTGTTCTCCGTCTCCCCCTCTGGGTTGTGTTCTCTCGCTCATATTTCGTCGCTGAGCAGCCCCGTCTTTCGCCATGCTCTCCATTGCGACACTTCCTCTCAACGACTTGTACGATCGAAGTTTCTCTTGCTCATTCTCCTCTCCTCTCCTCTCCTTTTCTCTTCTCCTCTGTTTCCTCTCCTCCTTTTTCCTTTCCTTTCTTCTCCTCTGCTTTGCTTTGCTCTGCTCTCCTCGCTTTGTTTGCATGGTTTTGCTTCAGTCCATTGCCATGGCTCATTTCGCCTCAAGGTGTACCATCATCCCAACCACGGGAGGTAGCGCTTCTGCCTTGCTTGCTTTGCTCGATATGGGAGGTTCTTTGCATCAGACGATGAGGTGAGATGATGGAGATGTGAAGGAGGAAGAGGAGAGGGAGGAATGGGGTTAAGAAACAGATCATGGATGAGTTGTCGATAGAATAATGATGACTTTCAACAGAAGACTTGTCTTGGCACATTCCAAATCCAATTTGAAAGGAGACGATAAAAGATCTGCAGCAAGCAAATTTGTCGAAGATTGCCTCATCTTTCCAGATGGCAAAGTGAGTGACGGGCATCAACAGATTTGAGTCTCATCTTTGACATTGCTTGCACTCTTTCACATAGAAACAATCTCAATCTCAACATGCTGATGTTGTTTCTTCTAGTTGTGGAGTGTTTGGGGAACTTCTACAGCAGAATTTGAGTCGAGGATGAACTTGAGGAATTCTTCGGATACCCTGACCCCTCTCGATCTGTACAGGTGTAATACCGTAGTCTCCGTGTATATGTTTTGAAAGATTTTCTTTCAGGCTTCTTGGCACTGATCGATACAAGATTGCAGAATATCTTCACCACATCATATCACAGCTCAACGTCAAGAACTATTCTTTCGGTGCAGGTAGTTCAACAAGCCTTTCCTCATCTCAACCCTTCCCTCTCCCTCTCCCTCTCCCTCTCCCTCTCCCTCTTCCTCTTCCTCTTCCTCTTCCTCTTCCTCTTCCTCTTCCTCTTCTTCTTCCTCTTCTTCTTCCTCTTCCTCTTCCTCTTCCTCTTTCCTCTTGCTTCCACACCTTCAGTCTGCATTTCCATCACACTCTCCTTTCCGTCGTCACTCTCCATCTCACTATGACCCAGGGCCCTGTCCTTCTGGCAGCTTCCCTGCATGCCCGTCAGACATGTCAATGTACACAAGGTGAGCAATTTCTTCAAGTTGAGACAAGTCCTGACGTCATAACAGACAGCTCACATTTGTTTACAAGTCTCTCTTTGAAACTTCTTCTCATCTTCTTCTGGTCTCCAATCAGCTCATTGTACTTCCCTTGCTGTTGTTGCCGGCTATGCTGAAATTTCCTTGAAGAATGTTTCGGAGGAGACGAAGAGCAACATTTCGAGGTGTGATGTTGGCATTGTTTCTCTTTCACCAGTCTTACTTTGTTTGTCCTCCTCTCACACCTCTACTATCCCTCCTCTCTTGCATTGCACTTCCTTGCCTCGACTTCTCTGTTTGTCTCATTCTTTTCTTCAGTTTGATGCTCATCGCCGACGAATCGACAATGAGGATGCGGCAGTCCCTTTTAGAAGCAGGTCTTCCCATCCCCCTGCTCCCTCTTCTATTTTCTCCTCCTCCATCCATCTCCCCCCCTCCCTCCCCCCCTCCCTCCCTTCATTCTGCAAGCCCGCTTTTCATTCATCTCTTTGACCTCTCCCTCCTGCTCGTGTCTCACTTCGAATCTCAGGCTCTTGTGACATTGTGAATGAATACTACGAGGGCGTCAGGAGGTGAGAAGGAGAGGAGAGGAGAGGAGAGCAGAGGAGAGGAGAGGAGAGGAGAGGAGAGGAGAGCAGAGCAGAGCAGAGCAGAGGAGAGCAGAGGAGAGCAGAGCAGAGCAGAGCAGAGCAGAGCAGAGGAGAGGAGAGCAGAGCAGAGCAGAGGAGAGCAGAGCAGAGGAGAGGAGAGGAGAGGAGAGCAGAGCAGAGGAGAGGAGAGAGCATTTGTAACTTTCCAAGTTCTTTTCGTTTGAGCGCTTCACTTTCAGACCCTTATGTCAAGGAGTTGTCAACGATATCAAGGCAACTTGGGGCTCCTTCCTTCTCTCAACGGTACCTCTTGTGCTCGCCAACAGACTTGCGTTGAGCTCTCACCAGGTTCTCTGGGCATTCCTCCTCCTCTCCCTCTGTGTCAAAACTTCCAACCCTCGGTGAGCTGCTAACTCCTCTTCCTCCTCTACTTTCTCCCTCTGCCATCCTCTGCTTCCTCCCCTTCCTGGTTCTCTGCTCCCTTCCACTTGCTTTCCTCCCCTTTCTCTTCCTGCTCTCTGTACCTCTCCTACTGTCCTACCTCTCTACTCTCCTTTTTCCTCCCCCGCCCCCCCCTCCTTCTCCTCTCTGCTTCGATATGTTCATGGTTATTTTCCTCATGGACAACGCCTACGGAGGATACGTGCTCGTGGTGGTGGAGGAGGAGGAGGAGGAGACATGAGGAGAAGAGCGGGAGGCAGGACATGTGATGTTATAAGTCTATCATGAACGAGAAGAGATCGGACAGAAGCTGGGGTCCTCCAGCTCTCTCGCTCCTCCTAGAAGTACAGGACAAGGCTAGAGGACTCACTCCGTCGAGTTGCTTGCCTCGCCCTGCGCGCTCGCGCTCGTCGGGTCATCGTTCATGTCGCTGGAGGGCAGGGCGTGAGTGGGGAGAACAAACGAGAGAAGTGAACTAAGGAAAGATGGAGGGAGGGGAGAAGTGAACTAACGAACGATGGAGGGAGGGGAGAAGTGAACTAACGAACGATGGAGGGAGGGGAGAAGTGAACTAAGGAAAGATGGAGGGAGGGGAGAAGTGAACTAAGGAAAGGTGGAGGGAGGGGAGAAGTGAACTAACGAACGATGGAGGGAGGGGAGAAGTGAACTAACGAACGATGGAGGGAGGGGAGAAGTGAACTAAGGAAAGGTGGAGGGAGGGAGAGAAGGAGATGAGATGATTGCGATGAGGAGGAGGAGGAGGAGGAGGAGGAGCAAACGAAGGGCTCACTTGCGGATGAACCAAGACTCCTGGGACATCTCGTGATACCTGCACATGGGTAAGAGAGCGTAACCCAGAACGAGATAGGGGAGAAGAAGTTGGGGGTGGGGGGTGGGGTGGGGGCGGAGCTCACTTGTAGGCGAAGTAGACGAAGACGAGGAAGAGGAGGATGAAGAGAACGATGGTTGGGATCCATTCTTTCGCCTTCTCCTTCGTCGTGTAGCCGTTCAGCCATCGCAGCCCCTCCTTCGCTTCCGCATGCCCAGCGTCTGCCGCCTTCTTCCACCATTCTCGCGCCTTGTCGAGGTTCTTCTCCACTCCCAACCCCTGCGCGTAAAGATCCCCGAGGTGATTCATGGCGTCTCTCACGTTTCCTTCTTCTGCAGCTCTCCGCCACCTACGGCATCGTTACCTTTCTCCTCTCCTCTCCTCTCCTCTTGGTCTTCTCTCCTCTCCACTTCAACTTCATCCCTTCCCTATCTTCCTCCCTCCCTTCTCTTCTCTGTCCTCTTCTCATTTTCTCCTCCTCGCGCACCAGTAAGCCGCTTTCTTGTAGTCTGGCTCAGCCCCCGTGTGAACGTGATCGTGTTTTCCACCCTTGAAGTAGCATCTGCAGCTCCTTGAGACGGAAATGGCGCAGATGAGGAGGAGGCGACAGAGATGAGGAGGAAGGAGGAGGAAAAAGCACAGGGACAAGCATGAAGGAATTACGGTGGAGGAGAAGGAGCAGGAGCATGTGGACGTGGAGGAGGACGAGGAGGAGGAGATGGTGGGAGGGGCCAGCACCTGCCAAGCGCGTGCATGGCCCTGTACTTGCACTGTGGCTCATCGTCGGAGGCTCCTCGGATGCAGTAGAGGTACCATTGGATCGCCATCTCGTGATCGCAAGCACATCCATGTCCCATCTCATGGCACTGACCCGTCGTCAGCGCAGCGTCTGAGTCCCCGAGCTTGCAAGCCCGCACGCTCCACTCGTAGGCAGAGGGATAGTCCTGCTCCACTCCGATCCCGTTGTAGAAGAATCGAGCGATGTTGGCTGTGAACGCAAAACGTCAGCTACCCATTCTCCTCCTCCTCTTCCTCCTCCTCCTCCTCATTTATCATACTGCCTTCCTCCTTCCTTCGATCAAGTACCGGCCGAGGTAGCATGGCCGTTGGAGGCGGCGGCGAGGAAGCACTGGGCTGCAGCTCCGAGGTTTTGAGGGACGCCTTCGCCCTTGAAGAAATGAACTCCGCGAGCATGCAGCTGGTCCACCGACACAAACCCGTTGCTCTCTGCCAGCCTGTACCACTTGGCCGCCTCCTCCTTGCTGCTCTTGACGCCCATCCCGTTCTCGTAGCACTTGCCCAGCAGGTGCATCGAGTTGCCATCACCCTGATGCGCAGCTCGCTTGAGGTAGTCGACTGCCTTTTCCGGGTTTCTCGCCATGATCCCCTCGATGCCCTCCATGTACAACTTCCCCAGCACCGCCTGCGCGTCAGGGTCGTTGAGATCCGCTGCCTTCACCCACAGCTCGTGAGCTCTCTTCCGGTCCTGCGTCACTCCCTCCGAGCCAAAGAAGAGCATCTTCGCCAGGTTCCTCATCGCCTTGGGATGGCCTGGCGACACAGCAAACAGCGTCAGCACCTAGCCTCTCCCTCCTCCTCCCACTTGCTTCTTTCACCCCTTGACCTCCTCCTTGCCCATGCCCTCTCCTTTCTGTCTCGTTCCTCTCCTCCTCCACCTGCTTCTGTCGCCTTTTCAAACCACTCGGCTGCTTGTGGATGATTCTGCGTGACGCCTTCCCCAGCATAGAACGCCCAGCCAACGCTATAGAGAGCGGCGGGGTGACCCTTCTCCGCCGCCTTCATGAACAACTCGAAGGACTTAGGAGCAAGTGTTAGAGCTGACATAGACAGGAAGGAGGGTGAGGAAGGGAGACATAGAGGAAGGGACGAACATCGGTACGTTGAAGGGAGGGAAGGAACGAGGAGCAAGGGGGAAGGATGGATAGATGTCAGAAGCTGAGCAAGAAGAAAGAAGGGCAGATGAAGGGAAGAAGACAGCACGGAGGAGGAGAGCAGATGCAAAAGGCCCTCAGCATCCCCCCAAGAAAGTGAGCTTGCGGCGAGTTACCCTGGGAAGGTCCTTCTCGACGCCTTCAGTGCCGTCGTAGTAGATGTCACCGAGATCGTTCTGAGCATTCGTATCCCCCGCTTCTGCTGCCTTCAACAGCTTCTCCACCTTCTTGCTGACTTGCCCAGCGATCTTCTCCGGCGACTTTCCACTTTGACCGGCCATCTAGTTGCAGCCAACGAGTCAATGCGAGCAGATGTGTAAGATCAAGACGTGAGATCAGCAATGATATGAAATTCTGGCTTAAATTACAAATCAAATCAACCATGCAATCTCAGATTGATATGGTTAATCTACCATGTCTGCGTCAGAGAGCATTGAAACATACAAGCTGCTGTTCACTCCGTTTGCACACTTTTCACGACTTCTCTCCGCACAAGGTTTACACCAACTTATCTCTCCTCATATTTCTTTTATGATTCGAAACTCTGCTAGTTGTCATCGCAACCGTGCAGTTACTTCATATCTCTGACGAATCGAAACTATTTTGTTCAAGTTATCAAAGAAAGGAGTTCAGAACTTCGATCTCGCTCCCTCAGCATTCATGCCATATTCGTCCTTTCATTCTCTGGTACTTCTGCAATGTATGATCCTGCTCCTAACCCTGCTCCTGCTCCTGCTCCTGCTGCTCCTGCTCCTGCGCCTCCTGCACCATCTTCGCTCCACTTATTTCCCTCATTTTCTTGCTTGGAGGCCGCTCGATCACCCAAGCATCATCCACCCCACCCCTGTCTATCTCCCTCGAACCTACCCCTAGCTTTCCCTGACGCTTGTAGTAGGGACCATCAGTCCACCCTAGTAAACCGTAATTCCTAGATCTGTTATCCAGGGGTAGTGCAACACCCACCCTATGCTTCTGATCAAATTGAGGAATACCACCCCTCATGACACTAATAACTCTTTCCATCCTTTCACCACCCCTACTTGATTCATCCTGTACCCCCATTGAGATTACCCCACCCCTATTTTCACAACCTTTCAATGGTACCCGTGATCTAGCAGTCTACAGATTTAGTACCTACCCTTTTGTCACGGTTATCATGGAAAAAGTACCCTCCCTGGTCTGGATTTACATACCCCTACCTCCTCATTATTTCCACCACCAACTTGTTCAGAAAATCGTTTCTAGCACCCACCCCCAGAACTGTCGCCACAAAATTGTAGATTTCGAGTAATCTCTGAAATCCTCTTGGAATATTTCAAACTTCCCTGAAATATTTCGGGAAGCGTTATAAATTTAGGAACCAAACTCCAAGTCTTCAAACTATCGAACTTAGCAACTTCAAACTCAACAAACGTGGGTCCGAACTTGCAAACTTCGCAGTCAGGATCATGTGATATGGCAGGAGCAGAAAGGGCAGGGGAAGGGAGGAGAGAGGAGGGCAGGGGAGAACGACCAGGATCGATAATTGATGCACAGGGAGGAGCCAGAAGATGAATGTGGTATGAGTTGAGCCGGTCAGATAGAGGAAGCGGAGTTTGCCCAAGGGGTGAATGTGCGAGGCGGTGGAAGAGGAAGCTGCTCATGTAAGAAGTAACATTGGACATTATGTTCTAAGTTAGGAATGACTTGTGGTGAACTGGTAGCCAGATGACCTTGTTGTTTCAGTCTTCCTTCATAGCAGAAATCTGGCATTCGTCGTTGTCGTCGGATTGATCGAGCATGGAGGAGCCAGAGGAACTGAAGGAGGATGAGACAACAGGAGCGTTGAAGATCGTCCGTAGGAAAGTGCAAAAAACGGATGCAAGTGCCACAGAAGCTCGTGCCATCAGAAAAGGTTGGTGCTATTTAGTGCACTCCCTGCCCGTTGAAGGCTGGTCGGCTCCAAACTTTCCGAGTGTTTCCTCATTGCCACCCCCCCCCCCCT